GCCCTGTCCAATTTTCTCAGCAAAGCACGCGTCAGGTGCGTCTTTAGGGACGGCAATGGCCGTGACTATGAGGCGAAGAAAACAATATCGGGCCTTGCTGGAATCAGCAGCTCGCAGATTAACAGGGACGTTCTTAAAAGCGAGACTGTCAAGTTCAAGAAGAACTTCCAGTGGGGCGGACCCAAAGACGTATGGTTCAAGATGGAACTTCGCGAAGGCGAGACGACTGTGATGGGCAACAGGCGTCCAGGCCTCTACACCGTTCATGAATACTCAAAGTGGAGTATGCGGACTGTCTCCTTAATCTATCTCGAAGCTTCACGCTAACTTAGAATGCAGAGTACGGCATTGACTTTGACGCGAAGCTTCCACTCGTCAACCTAGGACGACCCGACAAGCCGATGTATGTGCCCGCCGAGCGTTGTACCATCATTGAGGGTCAGTCGGTGCGGTCCAAGCTCAGCGGCGAGGAGACAACGTTGATGCTCGACTTTGCCTGCCGGTCTCCGTTTGCCAACGCCCTCTCGATCAGCACGGAAAGTTCGCAGCGCGCTGGGCCTGGATGAGAACCCAACGCTCCAGCAATTTGGCCTGACCATCGACCGGCGCCTCCTGACGGTCTGGGGCCGCGAGCTTCAGTCTCCCTCGGTCCTTTACCTCAAAAACAAGGAGGTGAGGACGTTTGGCGGCGGATGGAACATGCGGGATGTGCAAGTTGCCGAGGCAGGCCCCAAGATCATGAACTGGGCCTGGGTGCAGGTAACGGAGAGCGAGCGCTACACCGATGCTGCAGAAGCGGTGGGCAGATTTGCCGCCTTCCTAGCGAACACGGGTATCCCCATCGACACCGCCCCTCGCCGAGGTCTCCGGGTACGCACTTCGTCGTTCCGATACCAGGACGACGTGGAGGCGGCGTTCAAGGAACTTGAGCAAAGGGCTGCCAAAGGGCCGCCGAACCTCTTCGTGCTCGTCATCCTGCCCCGCCAGGACACGACTCTCTACAGTGTCATCAAGACGCTGGGCGACTGCCAATTTGGATTCCACACCATTTGCGCTGTGGAGAAGACGTTCACCAAGGAGAATCCCATGACGTTCGCCAACATCGGTCTCAAGTGGAACCTCAAGAACGGCGGCATCAACCACAGGGTCAAGGATCCCATCGGCATCGTGGCCCAGGGCAAGACAATGGTCGTCGGCTACGACGTCACACACCCCACCAACATGGGTCTGCAGCCAGGCGAGAAGGACGTGCCGCCGAGCATCGTCGGCCTCGTGGCCAGCGTTGACAAGGATCTGGGACAGTGGCCGGCCGTGGCGTGGGAGCAGAAGGCGGGCCAGGAGATGCTGGACAGCAAACTCCTGGAAAGCTTCAAGTCGCGGCTGGAGCTCTGGCGCAAGAAGAACCGGCAGTCGCTCCCCGAGTTCATCGTCGTCTACCGCGATGGCGTCTCAGAGGGTCAGTTCAGCCAGGTGCTCGAGCACGAACTGCCACAGATGCGCGAAGCGTGCCGCGTCATGTACCCGAACGGCCGCATGCCCAAGCTCTCCATCATTGTGTCGGTCAAGCGGCACCAAACACGGTTCTACCCGACTCGCGAAGACCACATGGATGGCAAGTCGCGCAACATTAAGAACGGCACGGTGGTGGACCGGGGCGTGACGCAGGCGCGGTACTGGGACTTCTTCCTGACGGCGCACACGGCGCTGAAGGGCACGGCGCGGCCGGCGCGGTACACGGTGCTGCTGGACGAGATATTCACAACCAACTACGGCATGACGGAGCAGGCGGCCAATCAGCTGGAAAAGTTCACGCACGATCTGTGTTACCTCTTTGGGCGGGCCACCAAGGCCGTCAGCATCTGCCCGCCGGCGTACTACGCGGACATTGTGTGCGAACGGGCGCGGGTGCACAGGCCCGAGTATTTTGACGTCTCGGACACCATGTCGTCGTCGGTGCGCAGCGGCGGAGGCATGTCGGCAGATGACGGGGCCAAGGTGGTGCATGCACGGCTCCAGGACACCATGTACTACATTTAGGCAGACGGCCTTCGTTGACGTCATGCACTGCAGACTGGAAATGGCGTGCTTCAGGGAAGATGGATGATTGTATGTATCAGTGTGGCCTCTGAGAATGGCGCAGGGCATTCGAGTTGCGTCGCATCGATCGGCCTTCGAGTTCATCCGAGTGACGATGTTGTTTTCTCCTGGTGGGTTCGTAGGTGGGTTTAGCCCGAGAACCACGCGAGGGATCAGCGCTCGGCATCCGGGGAAGGCCGAGTCCTGATGGGGCCAGCCCTATGCGTAAGGCAGCATCCAACGGATGACGGGACGGGTGTTGGGGACACCATCGTCACAGCGTCGTACGTGAATGGGGCAGCAAATCTGTGCAGGTGATGTGCACGACGCTGAACATGAGGACAGGCTGCTAGGCAAAGTAAGATGACTAGTGACCTTAGGTACGGTACCTAGTTATGGTACCTAGGTACCTTAGCTATCTTACCTTACCTTAGGTAGGTCGGTAGCTCCGAAATGGCTCTCACGATCGCGCAGGCCAGTGGACGGCGTCTTCGTTCGATTGGGCCCCTGCTACTCCGATCCAGCACTGTTGCCTGATGGCTGCTGCTCTCCATCTCCTGACAGGCTTGTCCGGCCAACGAGAAGAGGGGGACAAGCAATCCTTCTCTCTTGATGTCGTCGGATGATGTTCTAGGCAGGTACTGGTAAGACTTGTGGCGTACCGTACCTCTCTGCCTGCCGCTGACCGTTGGCCTATGGCTAGGACGCCCTGTAGTGCTGCAAGCCCAGGCAACAGCGTGGACGGAGATGAAAGAGGGAAGGGACTTTGGGGTCTGATCGCTTCCCCTTGCTGTCACGCCGCCGCCGGCCCCATGTCTCTCCAAATTGCGAGGGAGGGGCCGAAAGTTCAGCTCGGCCTTGGGCGCCAGTGGAAAGTGCACCGGGCGGACCCTGCCTTGCCTGCTTCCTATGCACGGTTTGTATTTCCTTCCTAGTTCCGTACCAGTCGCCAGGTCCAGTCCCTTGCTCTTGCTCCTGCTCGGTAGACGGCCCAACAAAAACGTGTGAAATCGAACTCGGACTTCGGTCTTTCGCTTCGTCCAGGAAAGAGCGTTGCACGACGCACTAGTCGCCATTGCTTCTGTTGCATTTTGTTTTCTTTGTTTCGTCGCGTCATCATCCTCTCCTACCCTTTCCCCCCCTTTTATGAATTTGCTTCTCGTCAATAACTTCACTGCAATTTGCGCACTACTAATAAACCTCCTGCTGTCCCACTTCCGTTCCCCTGGCAGCCTCCACCCGGACCGGACGACGCCAGCAGTCACAGTCCAGCCCATACTAGCAACCGCGAAGGACAGAACCCACCCAGACCATATTGGCCGCCTCCCACCTCGCCTTATGAACCCCTTGGAATCCAGACTCATCCTGCTCCCTGGCGTGTCTCTCTACCTAGCTTTGCAATATGGCTTCGCCGCCGGAAACCACACCCGTCGAGGTCAAGCCGACCCAAGTACACGCCCAACCTCAACCACAGCCGCAGCTGGAGAAGAGCGACGACACCACCTCGACAGAGGTGCCCACCCACGACCCCATTGATGAGAAGGCATCAGTCGATAGAGATAGAGCCTTTGATGAAAAGACACTCGACGACGGCGCAGCGGAGAAGCCCGTCGAGAAAAGTCAAGATGAGCCAGCCGCGGATGCAAACGCCAACGGCTCCGTCGAAGATGAATCCATCTACCCCAAAGGCCTCAAGCTCACGCTCATTCTCACTTCACTGTGCCTCGCGGTTTTCCTCGTCGCCCTCGACCAGACAATCATCGCCCCGGCCCTGGGCGCCATCACGGCGCAGTACAACTCGGTCGGCGACATCGGCTGGTACGGCTCTGCCTACCTCTTGACCACGACAGCGCTGCAGCCCCTCTATGGTGCCATTTATAAGCATTTCAACGTCAAGATCGCCTTTCTCATCGCCATCTTCATTTTTGAGGGTCGGCAGCGTCGTCACCGCTGCCGCGCCCACCTCGACCGCTTTCATCATCGGTCGTGCGGGTTGCTGGCATCGGCACAGCTGGTCTGTTCTCCGGATCCATCGTCATCCTGTCCTACACCATGCCGGTTGCGTCTTCGGCCCTTGGCATTCGGGCCTCATCGGCGGCATG